CAGTAGGTATGGTGTGGAAGACTGAGCCATGGATTCTTCCAGGCGATCGAGAGACTTGAAAAGCTGCGTCACGGCCTTTGTGTATGCCTCCTCAGTGCTGCGACATCGTTAGTCCATCATACTCGACATCATGTAAGTATTTTCGTGGAACCTACGTAGCGAATCCCGACTTGTAAACACCGTTGTTCACATCGTTGTACACCCAGTCGTTCATGGCCTCGATATCCTTCTGGAAGTCCTTAGGGAATAGATCCACCTTCCTGTACTTCTCCTCGACGAGATCGTCGAATTCGGTGTACAGCATCCTTATAATCTCCGCGCTCTCATTGCTGACAATTTTCTTGGTCTTCTTGTCGTACAGCGTCGGCACCGTGAAGCGGCCCTCGTAGTCTGGGTTCTGCTCAAAGTAGATGTCGCGTAGATGCGTGTATCCTTCGTGAAGCGGATCCGGTGTGGTGTTACCAGAGACCTTCTCATCGGAAGCTGCGAATCGCCAGCCTTTCTCCGCCATGTGCCAGTGGACGCTGTTGTAGGAGATGATGTCCTCGAGGCCCTTTAGGTGGCGCACGATGAGTGTGCGGTGCGCCCAGGGACAGGCGTAGGAGACGTAGAGATGGTAGCGACCTTTCTCTGGTGGAAATTCGGCATCAGGCTTGTTCTGGATCCAGTTCCTGAAGACGGATGTTTGGCGCTTGAACTCGCCGCTCTTGTCACCGGGTTTGACCTTATTCTGTAGTCAGTATGCTGGTGCAAAACCCAATATCCACTGGACCTGTCTGCGAAGCTGGCTAATGACTTCAAGATCTCTTACCCAGTCAAGGATCGATCCCTTTCCATCCTTGCTATCTTGTTGGGGTGCTTTGTCCATGGCTGCGCGACTTGGAGTAGTGGAGAATGACCGTGAATATCTTATTGAGATTGAAGAACACTTTGTGATTGTCCTGAGTCGCAAAGCGCGTGAGAACATAGAATAGCAATATGCACTTCCAGAGATGCGTTGCGGCTATATAGCTGTCATTGAAAGCAAGCAGCTGGACGATGGTGGAGACGTCATAGCTTCGTCTGGTCCCGATTTGGTGGGGCGCGTGTTCCAAGAGTGGACTTTACTCAGCATTGAAAAGCTTGACTAACGTTTGGCGTGACAAAGCGCTTCGCGATGGAATTGCGCCTTACTATGGTATGAGCAATCACAGTGTAGGGTTACCAAGATATTCAGCAAGGCTCGGGATATGGAATAAACAATCACATAGGGAGGAAGACCCGGAATTTGGGGGTATCTAGTGCTTTTGCAATTCCGTCCAAATATGTACATGTGTAGGATGCCGTTCAGGAAATCGTTGCGCCTGAGCCGTTGTAAACGAAGTGACCTTCCCAAATTCTCAATGCTACAAACTCCGAGGACAAAACATTGTTCCATGATGCGATTTAAAGCAGGGCGGCACCAACATTTCCCAACGTCTGCTTCGTCACTTCGTCCCTGACCTGTCCCACCTTCTTCGCCGAGTCGAGAATGGCACCCTCGATGGCCTTGAGCGCTTCCACCAGCTCACGACGCTGATCGCGTGGTGCGCTTCGACTGCCGGTCAATTGCTGAGCCTTCTCTACGGTGCCGGCCTCCATCGTCCGCAGGTGGGTCTCGATCTCGCGAATCTGGCGCTGGTAAACGTCTAGAGTACGGCCGAGCTCATCGGTGCGGCGGTTGAAGTAACCCATGAGGTCGACAGGCTTGGTCGGATCGTCATCGTCCAGAGCACTGGTCGCAGGAGCCTTTGCGCTTGACGCTGTGAGGTTGGCGTTGTTGCGGTAGTGGAACTGCGCCGGTAGTCGCTGATTCTCAATGGCACGGAAGCTGAGGGTCGCGTCGTCGGCATCCTTCTTGACGAGGCTTTTGAGGTGCGCAATGTTGGCGGAATCGTTATCCAGGCCGACTTCAACAGTGGAAAGGAACGTCTCGATGTAGGCCACGTCAGGCGCAATGGTGTCGATCTCTTTCTCGCTGCCAGGGAGGGCCTCGCGAATCTGACTACAGAAGTTGACCTTGCGCTGGATGCCCTCGTCGAACTGCTGGATGATGTTTTGCAGTTCGGGGTGCAGGTCGTTAAAACGCGTGGTTCCTCGTATCGAGTCGAGGGTCATCTGAACGGGCTGCGCGCTTGATGCCATTTGGTTTCCTCCCAGAGTAGAGCCACCGAGCGTATTCGACCTGTTCTGTGTGTTCATGCTGCCACCGAACAAAGTATTCTGCTGCTGGGGCTGAGCTTGCTGTTGAGTCGAACCGAAGAGCGAAGGGGCCGATGTTTGATTTTGCTGAGTGGAGGCGTTGTTCCCGAACAAGGAGGGTGTTGTTGTCTGCTGTGTGGACGAGGCGCTAGGACTTTCAGTTAGCTTGTGTCACCGCGAGCAGCCATGGTCACTTACAACAGTGATGGCTTCGACTGAGCGCCGCCGAAGAGCCCACCAGATTGGGGTGTGCTTTGAGGCTGGCCCTGTGAGTTACCGCCTAATGCGCCGCCGAAGAGGCCTCCGCTCTGTGGTTGTGTTGATTGCGCGGTGGATGAGCCGAAGAGTCCTCCGCTCGCAGGCGCCGTTGTCGCAGGCTTGTTCAGGCTGCCGAAAAGCCCTCCACTTGCAGGCTGCGAAGTCTGAGGCTGAGCTTGGCCACCGAAGAGCGAGCCCGACTGTGCTTGTTGCGGTTGTTGGGCAGACCCAAAGAGCCCGCCGCTGCTCTGGGGCTGGCTGGCCTGCTGGCCTTGGTTTGCATTGTTGCCACTGGTATCGTCAGTCTAATGCATCGAGCAGTCGTAGTTGCTGTGTGGGCTGCATCGCATGCACTCGGAATGGTAGTAGCAGAGGCTGCTACCCAAGAGAGCGCTTGGTACAGAATGTGGGAAGACGTACAAGAGACCACCACCACCGCCAGTATTGATACTCAGCGAGTTTGATCGCCCAAAGCCCGCCATTTTGTTCCCGTCTCCTTCGTTATTCTGCGTCTAACTCGTCGTCTGTTTGCGATCGTTCACGATGGCTTCGCAGGTGCAAAGTCGCGGCGTAGCTCCACTTTCTCAAGCTGAGAGACTTGAGGAGGTTATAGCGAGCGTTGAAGAACACGACGCGTGGAAATGCGCGTGGTTGACAGTGCAGAAGATGGGTCGGTATGTAACGGACAATGCCTGCGTCTGTTTGGCGGCGCGCCAGCAACAGCACAGGCCCAAACGCGTGCAGTCTACTCGGCTAATCATTCCCTCATCCAGCAACTCAAAGAAGCTCACGTTCACTACCAGAGGCTTCGTCACTACAAAAGCCGTATAGCAAGCGGATCCCACACGCGAATTTCGTGGCAACCCAAACACCCGCAAAAAGACGAAACAGAGGCTTGCGCGAGCGCGAGCAATTGTGCAGGCACTAGAAGGAGTTGGATACACAGTAATCCCTTGGGAGGGCTCACTTACTACGGGCGCGCCATTTAGCTGGTGGACCGGAAAGAACGACACCATGGCAGACGAATCCGACGACGATCTCTATGGCGACGAGACAGCCGCGCAGCAGACCAACGAGGCAAAAAAAGAGGATGACAACTCCAGCGGTGATGAGCCAATGGACGAAGAGTCGGGCGATGAAGAAGACAGCGACTCGGTATGCTGCACAAGAAGCCCACAAAGAGCTTGCGCCAGTTCTAACGAAGCTGTAGGATATCGACATCATCATCGAGAAGGCGCCAGCACCCGCCAAACCCACAGCGTAAGCTTCTATTGAGCTCCGAGCCTCAGATTCCCGCCATCACTACAGCTACTAACACGTCCGCCCAGCGCGCAAGCACCCCAAGAATCCAAAGCCATAAAGATCGAAGCACCGCCTGCCTCTTCGACCACGCCCTCGCAACAAGTACCCCCAAAGACCGTTCCCACAACTGGCGGCACTGTCCCTCAACTGTCCGCCTCAGCCCTCTCGGGCACCGCCTTCCCCGCGCAGCGCACCTCGACCATCGATGTCAACGGGAACCCCGTCTACCCTCCACAAGGCAAAGAGATTCTCAGCGTAGACATCGATGCCGATTTAGCGGAAGAGCAGAAGATCTGGCGTCGACCTGGTGAAGACCAGTCGGACTACTTCAACTACGGCTTCGACGAGTTCACTTGGGAGTTGTATCGCCAAAGACAAGTCAGTATGGCCAACACGCTGCAGGGCCAGAAGAACGACATGGCACAAATGCAGGCTATGATGGGTGGCGCGCCGATGCCTGGTATGCCCGGAATGCCTGGCATGGGCGGTGGTCCGCAGGGCAATGGGGGGCCAGGTGGTGCGCCGCCGACAGGCCCGGGAGGAGGAGGCGGCGGTGGTGGCGGCGGCGGTGCTATGGGCCCTGGAGGCATGAACGAACAGCAAATGCAGATGATGATGCAAGAGATGATGCAGCAAGGCATGGATCCCAGTCAGATGGACTTTGCGTCCTTTATGCAGATGGCAGGTCAGGGCATGGGTGGCTTCCCCGGTGGACCTGGAGGTCAGCAAGGCGGAGGTTTCCAGCAGGGTCATCAAGGCGGTGGTGGCAGAGGCGGACGCGGTGGCAGGGGAAGAGGGTGGTAACAGGGAAGCCACCAGGACATGTCTCGTCGGGACGGCAGGATAATGTAGGCTCGAGATACGATGGTACACGGCATCACGGCGTTCTGAGTATATTACTACGATACCATGGGTGGGAAACGCCTTCTGGCGCAAAGCAGTCTGTTTCAATTCTTACAGATCAATCTACTTCCGACTCAAGCGCTTCGGTGCCGTGCTCTGATCACTCTTGTGGTATCACCAGGCCTTCCCATAACCATTGCACGCTCGCGCGTTCTTTCGAAGCCTCGTACAGTGCGTGCAGCATCTTCCCGTGCGTTACTGTGCTTACGTGCCCTGTCTTCTTCATGCACGCGCAGCGCTTTGCACAGTCGTGACATGTGGTACCCATATCGTGCGTGCGTCTTCACTCTCGTCAAGATTCCCGGACAGCACAGCGCCTATGTCTCCATGGGTTCTCCTCCCTCGAGGATATGTGCTGGTATCCGACCTTCCGCAAAGTCCTTCTCCAGCCTCGCCATCTCGGCCAAGCTGCTTGCGTTGAGGATGGCAGCGCGCATGCGCTTCTTCTCTTCGTCGGTGTAGATGCGCTCTTTGCCCGAGTCGGCACCGTTCGCGTACGAGGGGACGACGAAGCCCTTGGACTTGTTGCTCGAAATCTGGGAGAGTTAGTCAGATGAAACTTGAAGACAGTCGTTATACGAACCTGGTTTGCAAGTTCTGTAGGCTCCTCGACAGTTCCGAACAGTTCCTTGGCCTTCTTTCGCTCAATATCCCGCACCTTGCTGAAATCTAGGAAGCGCACAGTCGGACAGCGCCAGATGACCCAATACCGGTAGTTCTATGTGATGTTAGCATGCTGCGCATAATAGCCTCCATCATGCGATCCTGAGCCGGCCTAATCGCAACGAGTGGCTCACCCTGCACCGTTTCCGATCCCCAGGGTCAAGTTTGCTTGCACCATTAGGCTCAAACGTTCATGGCTCAACAAGGTCAGACACATACCTCTTTGCTTGTGACAGGGTTTCCCATCAATGACAGGTATACAAGTTGCTTAAAACCCGCCAGCGGATCCAAGTCGGCCAGCTCTGCGATCCTGTTCTTGGTAAGGACCAGTGTGCGCAGGTTCGGTATGCTCGACGAGAGGTTGGGTTGGATGTTGGAGATGCGGTTTTGCGCAAGGAAGAGCGTTCGGAGACGAGGTTGAAGAGGGAAGTTGCCGAGCTGTGCGATGTCGTTGTCGGTGAGATCTATGGCGTCGTTGTCCTGTCATCTTGTCAATGTGCGATCCATGTTTGGGGCGATGATGCAACTTACTCGCGCTGCTCCCATGTTCTCAATCGCGGAAATCTTGTGACCTAGATTATACGATATTGATATCAACTCAGCTCTCAAGTGTAGCATCTGCTCTTTTCAACGCACCTCGCAGATCGAGTTCACGCTCCGTGAGACAGTTGATGAAGGACAGGGAATTGTTGATGAGGTCTGTTGTTAACCTCATGTTGGCGGTAGTCTGTGGTGTATATTGGGTTTAGAAGGCGTGTTAAGGTATGCGCTGCGAGCCAGGGTATCGTTCAGTATCTTGCGCGGAGTTGCCAAAGTTGGTCGCGTAGCTAGAGCTCCATCTCTTGAAATTCGTAGAGCGCCAAGAACTTCCCCGCTAGCGCCACACTCACTTGCTCGTCGCCTGGGCACGTGCCTACGTCTTCCTCTATAATCTACTAAGGTCGGTTCCTAGGTATGGGAGCACCGCAACTTCATGCTTCAACGACACTTTCTATTCGTCATATCTGTGGGGAAGAACGCAATTGGGCAAAACCATGGCATGTACGAAATCCCAGGAATCAACACCGCTCCAAGCTCTCAGAGAAACAACCCACTCCGTAACAAAAAGCACCTCGACATCGTCTTGTCACAGCTTGAGCCATTCTCCAATATCCGAAGTTGTAAAGCCTGCTTCTGTTACTCATTCGCCGATCCTGTTGCTGTCTACAGTCCCTGAAATTTTCTACCGCTAACACATTAACCATATCTCGATATCACACAAGGCTGGACTACAAAATCAGCAGCCACGTTGCCTGATCTTATCTCTTTGTAAACCGGTGAGGGGACCGTCTTTCTCTATTATCTCACTTTCGATATGCCTTTTAATTCTTCTCATCGATTGGCTATTCCCTGCCGCCCCGTCTGCCATTGGGCCCGTCTCATCCGGTGAACCTGCACGCCATCAAGACCACTCGTGTATGCAGCCTGGTGGTTTGTAAAGTCATGGAACAGGCTGTTTAATAACTCAGTTGGAGTCCTCAAGATTGCGTTTCCTTCTGATCTAGCCTGCCACATTTCGAGTCGATTCAACATGCCGCTATGCTGGTGCGGCGAACGGGCTAGAGGCACTGGAACCCGATGCGCGCGACACCGACACACATACAACTACAACAGTGATTCCACAGATATTAGCAGCGTACATCGTCACATCGGCACCCGCGCTCGTCATCCTCGCGCTCATTTTGCTGACGACATCTACCCACACGCACGGTATGGTCCTGACCAGGCTGTCATACCTCATACAAATCATGGCAATGGCTACATCTCCAGCGCACAAGCGAATGGTCTAGCACATTCGGTTGTCCAAGTTCTTGAGACGTCAAGCGATACCCATGCTGTCGCGATGGCAGAGTTCTCAGTCAACCCATCCGCGGGCACATACACTTTCTCAGCCCGGGCGAATCTTGAACGCGAACAGTGCACTGTCTGTCTTCAATGGTTTCCTAATGGCTACAAGCTGGAATGCCATCAACAGGAGTTCCCGATTGGTTGTGAGGAGTGTAGGATCTGTCTGAGGCGCGACAACATCGCATGGCATGCCGACACCGAAAAACACAACCGATGTTTCGTGAGAGGGTGTGAGAGTGACTACAGAAGGTTTGGGAATTGGAAAAGTCGCTTTGTGGAGAGGCATGTTAAAGATACGCATTATCGGGGCTTTTAGATGTGAAAGGACAGACAAAGTTATCGCTGGGAAGGGCATCGTTGAAGAACACGCTGAGCTTGAGAGGCCACGACTGACCGCGTGGAAAATGGTTTCGGGCTATTTTCGTTAAATGTACTTCACCTGTATGTTCATATGATCGCTGCAGGACTACTTTGATCAGCAATATTGACGCAGCAGTGACACCGGTCCGCGTCAATCCAGGAAAGAACTGGACGCCTTAGAGCCCACATTAACGTCAGGTTACCTACTTTACATTTTATCGTTGTGATGTAGTCCCTATACTATTTTTCTTTTTCTCGTGTAGAGGAGGTCTAGCTTAGGCAATGTAGTGACGGCATTTGCACGAGTTTACATCGTCGGCTCGTCACGTTGGTCGGTTTGTCCTTGCGACCCGATGTCCGACATTCCATAGAGGAGAAGATGAAGTGATGCCGGCGGCTAGGCGGTGTGAGCTGGAGCGGTGGTTTCCGCCCCTACACAACTCAGCTAGCAATATGGTCCAACGGCGTGGGTTGGAGCTGGTGTTGTAATTGACTTGCTTGAACTAATAGAATGTAGCTTGACAACCTCGTGATGGCTATCCGAGTCGAGGCGATGCTACCCAGTACGACAGGCGGTGTGGATCATCTGAGACATGTCGACATTCGGCTCGGGGCCTCTGGTTGCGCCCTAAACGCCCGGTATTACTTCGTTGGATTCGAGAGCGTCAAGATCTCCTAGATCGCCTCACTATGCACCTATATCTACACGGATAGATTCCACGATCGTCACCCGATACCGGCGGGGAATCCAGCAGTAGAAGGAGGCTCGGAACGTCGCGTCACGTTGTTCCGAAGACACCAACATGTGTCGATCTCTTCCCAGCTGGACAAACGACGCGTATCGCGGGAGTCGGACATCATACCACTGTGATGGAAACCGGAAGAATGCTTTGGATATGGAAGCATCTGGTCAAGTATAGATGCATGGAAATAGCAATTGCACTGCATGAGTATGATCGGTACATGAACAGGTGTGAGGCCATCTTGAGATGTCTGAATGTGTTATCAACACCAAGATCCCCCAATGCAAATGCACATACGCGGGCACGGTTACACGATCTCGATAAGAGCCCGTTGATTGTCCAGTAAGGCAGTGTTGACAGAGATTACCGTTTGCTGGGCAATCTCATGTTCCAATGAGAAAGCAAGGCAAGTCCCTTCCGCCCCGACGACAATCACCCGCGGAGGTGGTCCGACGCGGAGCAAGTTGTTGATATCGAAAGTGCGGGTTGGCGTGCGTCAGCCTGTCAAAGCGAGGCGGCGGATTGCACCAGGACGGTTTAGAAAGACGTGCATGCCGTGATCTGGGGTACCCCGGGAGATCCGCAGCCACAGGCGCTGATGGCCGTCGGCGGGCGTGTAGCACTGTGATGACGGAGGACGATGGAGCGCTTTCTCTCGACTGAACCCTATCACCGCGTCGAAGTGGGAGCTGGCCGTCCCACTCGGGGGCCGTGTGATGTCGAGGAATCTTGGGTGGGCCTGTGGTGGAGGGGTGACGTGCAGCGGTGATGTGCGTCGTGAGTCGATCCTTTCACGATAGTAGCAGAAGCCGCTCACCGCCCTTCTATAACTAAGCAGCGGCCGCTCTGCACTAGGCTACGCGCGCTCCCCTCACTAACACGGCCCACGCGACACGCTTCTCTTTGTTGTCGCAGCCCTCATTGCCCCGCATCACCTGTAGCAGTGCAGTGGAATTACTACCTAGAAGACTGCCATGGGTCAACCAGCACGCCGCACTGCTCGAGCCCGCCATAATATCGACGCCTCGCCCTCCCACTCCTAAGACTGGGCGCGCTTCCATGGCGGAATGCGCCCTCTCGACATGATCGGACACCTCTTCAGCAGCCGCAAAGGCTCCAGCGCCGCCCACGCGCCGCCGCCGACGGTGCTCGACTCGGCGACGGAGGAGAGCCACACGCGCCATCTGCTGTACCCCGAGACCAGCACCCTCTACCACCCCGAGGGCCAGCCCTACCCTCTGCACGCCGCGCCCCTGACGCCCGGCAGCGCCCACGACGGGCCTCTGCCGGAGATCGACCTCGACTACCCGCGCGACTGCCGCATCATCATCGCCCAGGATGAGACGCCCCAGATGCCCAAGGCCATCCTGTTCGACTCCAAGCCCGCCCCGCCGCGCGCCGACCCGCCCACCTCGCCCACCTCACCCACAACACGCGCGCGCGCTGCGGGCACAGCAGGGCCAACGTTTGGCGGACAACATGCCCGTCGCTCCTCCCTCGCCACAGAGCCCACGCCGCCGCCGCGCTCGCCCACGGTCGCCGGCTTCACGCGCATACGCACCCGCGGCAGCTCCATCTCCTCCATGCCCAACATCGACGAGCACGCCCAGGTCCAGGCCAAAGCCCAGGCGCGGGCCAAGGAGTCGACCGACCTGGCCAACATCTGCCTCGACTGCATGTTCGGCAACCTCGCCATGAACTACCGCGGCAACTCCAACAAGATCCACATCGTGCCCCTCGACACCAAGCCCGCCGACGCCTCCATACTGAGCACCAGCGTCCAGGATGCGACAAGCTCTCTGGGCCGCGCTGAGGGCCTCCGCCGCCGAAGCCATCTCGCCAAATCCTTCACGCCCGCCAACCTTCCGACCGACATGCCCCGCGCCGACTCGTCCGAAAGCATACCGAAAGAGCCCAAGCGACGGACCATCTTCATCACACGCTTGTTCTCCGTCACCATGCCGGACGAGGAACACGACGACCGCACGCCGACACCGCAGAGCTCACTACCGAAAGGCAATGGGTTCCCCTTTCCGTCCACGAACGTCAAGCCAGGTGCCTCCAAGCCACCGTACCCGTCACACGTGCGAAAGAGCCCCATGTATGCCATCACCATCATCCTCCACCTGCCCATATCGAACACGTCCCCGAGCCTGAGACCCTCGTCCCGGAGTGCCAATACTAGGACTCCTGGACACCTTTCGACCTCTGCCCCGGGACAGGATTCTCTTGGTTCGTCACTGGACTCGGATCGCCGCGCAGGATGGGCCTTCATCGACTCTAATCTGGGCGTCGAATCGCTCCTATCTTCGTCGCTGTGTAGTGACGTCGATGACCGCGTTGATGTCGTAGGACAGCACTGGGATGTCATCATGCGCGCTCTAAGCAGCCTGCAACACGTGGTTCAGGAGCGCATATTGGCTCAGTTCAAGGCGCCCAAATCGCCAGATGGCATGGCCACGCCTGTGGCCCACCACCAGAGGAATCAGCCTTCGCGGACGAGTCTTCGAGACTCCTCTCTACAGGCCAGTCGACGAGCCCTACGATTGCAGCCGAACGCCCTCATGATGGACAAAGAGATACGAGACGCGGCGGAGCTAACCGGCAATCGCGTCGTGAGCGGCATGAGAATCCCCCGCGTAATGACAGGTCAAGGCAAATGGGGTGTGTGGCGCGAAGAGGCCAGATGGCTTGGGCGCTGGGCAGGTCGACGAGAACAGAACTTCTTCTTCTTCAACCTGCTGACTGCTTTCCTCGGTAACCACACTGAATGGCTCAACATCCTGGGCCCCAGGTGGCACCGCAAGCGTCATCGCGAACTACAGAAAGCGACTGCCGGAGAGAATCTAACCATTCCAAGTCGCACTGTCATTGTTTCCCCCGACAAGATGGCTGCTCGTAGACTTATCTTTCTATTGGCGGCTTTTCTACCACCTAACGCGTCTGCCATGGGCGACAACACGTACGCGCGCCCTGGCACCTCGGCGTCCCTGCGAGCTTACTCACAGTCGCCTCCGACCAACATGCCGCCCTCAAGACAGCCATCGCTAAGGAGACAGATCAAGCGAGGACCGAGGGGTAAGCAGAGCATGTCCAATATCCTTCTGCAGCCCCCAAAACCCCAGAGTGTGCATCAGCCGTCTACGCAGGCTCTAGACGAACGTTCCGAGTCGGTCCTGATTGAGACGTCAGAGCCTGTACGACCGCTCGGCCACTCGCGACGTTCCTCTGCACATTCAGTCCGGACCACTCTAGTCGTCCCCTCAATGTCGGAAGGCCCAGTCACGACAGGCAGCACTGTGACCACCTCAACAGCCACCCCACAAGATGCGATGCCTGTCGCTCACTTCACCTTCCCTAGAACAAAGTCGTCGGGCACCATGCCTGATATGAGACCAGAAAGCAGTGACAGTCTGGCGTCCACCAACTTGATCAGCACCCTACAACGGAGCGGTACAGGTCAGACAAGCCTTGCCAGCAACGATTCCAGCAACACCAGTCGCTGGAGTGGCTTCATGAACTTTTGGAGCGGCCGTCGCTCGTCCTCGACCGACCAGAGTGAGTATTTCCAAACAACAGATGATGGCGTGGGCTTTCGTGGGCAAGAACGCCCTCGATCGCAGCTTGAGCACATGGTACAGGAACTCTCTATGGACCGTGTCTTCGAGAGCGATGCCGTCGATTCTCCGTTTGCACCTGACTCCGGCGAAAAAGACACTCTCAGTGTTTACTCTAATGGTGGCACCTCCGGTGTTCCTGCATCTGCAGCGCGGCCGATACCCGAGCGTCAGAAGACTTTTGAAAGTCATTTAAAACTGTCAGTCAATGAAAAGGATGGCGTTATTGATGTCGACCTCCCGCTCCCCGACTTCGACTCCCCTTTGCAGTCTCCAATGCTGGGAGGATTCGGGTCAGCTTCAAGTCAACCGGGCTCCAGCTTTGGCGAGTCATCGGTTCTGTCGACGCCTCACGGAGAGCCAGAACAACCTGTCAACGTTGCTGGGTGGCTGAGTCAATTTCATCCTGACTTTGCTGTTCAGGCTATCAAACCGTATCGCTACCTTGAACGAGACATCAAGCGGGCAATGAGCGCGGAGCCAACACCTTTGAGTACCGTGACTACACCTAGTCTAGAGTCTGGTCCACTTGAACGCTGGATGGATATATGTTCTGCTCTTATCGCTGACACAAGTTCCTTTTCGATCAAGCGCATCAGCTTACGACGCCTTGTCAAGCTGATCCCCACACCTACCTACCAGTCCTCGGCCATGACGCCAGGCGTTACTGGTTTGGCGCCCGGTCACTCGCGTTACGGCAATCCGTATACTTCAGGCAGCGCTGTTCCAATGATGACTGAAGTCCACCTCGCCGAGAAGTTCGATGAGGAAATCATCATGGATTTCGATTCTACCCTCATCGACGGTGTGGACCGTGTACTGGCACAGTCTGGTGAAGTGACTCGTGTCAATTCTGCCCAGTCATCACGATCAAGCAGCAGAAGGGGGCGGCGCGATACACGAGCGGAGTCAGATGCGGTTCCACACGTCGAAGTACCGCATGTCGATTGTAAGAGCGTGCTGTTCGAAGCGTTGGAGGTTGTCGTCAAAGACGTAGCCACTGAGCGCGGAGGTAGACAGCCTTCCAAGGAAGGTGGTCAAATAAAAACGACAAAGACAACCAAGGCCTCTCATCCAAGAACTGAGAACGACTCTTCCTTGAAGGAGGGAATTCGAAGGTGGCTGACAGAGGTCGAATGAACGCGGCAACAGGGTGCCGACTCTCCTACCATGGCGACTTCAGATTTTGCCATCTATGTATTATATCCTTTGGAACTTTGCGTTTTGGTCTTTGCTGCGTTTTAGCGGGCGTTGGAATATTCTCACAGCGAGGTTGCGACCTTTGCTTTCGGCATCCAGGGTGGAGTTTTGCTTTGATCCGATGTGCTGCTGAGGGGATATCATCATATCTAGCAGACATAAGGCGTGGAAACTATGATACCATAAATAGACTGATCAGATCTACTAGTATTTTTACATTTGGTGCATCTGACAAGCATGAATGCCATGGCATGTGCAAGTAACACTTTGTGTGATGTAAAGCTATGTAGTGTTGATTGAGATCTTTGGTTGATGACAACCTCGAAACATCAGTTGTCCTCTCCTGGTATTGACAAGAGATGACTGTCCACGGCTCTCAGATATCGCCCCCAATAACAACATCAAAAACACAGTGCACAACTCCAGGTGCGTACATCTTGACTTTCTCCACATGTTCCACCAGAGCCTTCCTTCTCGTTGCGGCGTCCTTCTTATCCACCAGACCCTGGAATTCCTCTTCTACAACCTTTCGCCTCGTCTCGACATCGTTGACGCCCACATTCTCATGCACATGGATCCATCCTCCAAGCTGCTTATCAAGCATCGCAACCGCAACACCCCAAGAGAGCTTAGACGAAGGCAGTAAGCCTAGATTGACGTGTCGAACAGGAGACTTGGGCGATGGAAGCAACGCGTAGTCCGCCTCAGCACTCTCGTTGCTTGTCTGGAAGACGAGAAGATCCGCTTGGTGGAAGTCGGAATCGTCGACTGCGGGACTTCCACGCAGTCGCGCTATGTCTGTTTCTTGGAGCACTCGACAGGTCCACCCATTCATCTCAGCACCTCTGCGTAGTCCTTCGACACTCCACGGGTTTATCTCCCAACATGCGACTTGCTTGATACCTGTATTCCGTCTATCTCCACTCTTCTTGTAAGAAAACGCGAAGTAGCCGATTCCAGCGTAAAGATCGACGGCTGTTGATGCGACGTTCAGATCATTGACCGAGGGAAGATTCAATATCCTTGCTTTTTCATTGACATTGCCACGGCTGAACATCGTATAGAGCGGCGCCCAGGTCTGCCAAATACCGTTTTGACGCGCAGTTACCCAGAGGGCGTCGGCGAAGTCTGTGGGTGATGGCGAGGCGATGGTTTGTGGTGTCGGTGCAGGTCCGAAGTTGCCGTATAGAGGTGTGAGATTGGTTGGGCTTCGCAGTATATTTTCTTTGTCGGTTGTGGTGGTTGATGATGCTGATGTTGAAGATGTGGATATCGGTATGGGCGCGTTGATGGCGACGTGCGTTGCGCCCACTGATATCGCCATGTCCCGCCATACTGGTATCATGTTGTCGGAGTCGGCTGGATAGGTGGTGATAAGAGTTCGCCATGGCTCGGAGGATAATGAGTTGTGCGGAAGGAGAAGCATGGGCTTGTACACTGAGTATCCATCTGGGAAAGCTGTGACGAGTGCTTCGACCGTGAGTGTGTGCGTTATAGATGCAAGATCCGGGAGTAAGGTGAGCGCGGTTCCTAAAGCCTTATGAAGGGGACTTTGGTGGGCCGCACGCGGCGATGCTGCCGTGCTTGGGACGTGGTGTGAGATGGATATGTCTGTGGAAATTTCGCCCAGTGCGAGATCTTCTGTTATCTTGGACAATAAACCCCCCAGATCCAGGATGTCGTTCGAGCCGTTCATTTGTGCAGGGTACAGGATGGTCGTGGGAATGCGCATCCGCTGTTGCTCAGGTTCCTTAACCTGGTCAAGTTCCGCATTCATGGTAGAAGGATCAACATATTCTCCTCTAACCACATCGAACTGCAGGGCTGGAAACCTGATATGATTGTCGCGATCACCAGGTGCCTCGGCCGCCAAGCTCAAAGTCTCGTTCTCAATGTTTCGGTTTTCGCGCTGAACCCTGTCTCCCAATAATGACTGGTCGACATATTCGCCGCTGGTTGCGTCGAAGTGAAGCCTCGGGAAGCGCGACTGATGTGTAAGGTTTGGTGGTGCCTGCGAGGCTTCTGCTGGTGATGCCGCAGTGTCTTCTCCAGATGAAGATGCCTTTGATAAATCAGCACCTTGACTCGGGCCAGCCGGATCTATGACAGCCTCTGGTGCTCTTTTATGATCCAACTCAGGGATGATCTTGCTGCTCCGATCCAACTGTCCGGCCCGCTCGAGGGCAGACTTTACATTCTTGACATGCTGTTTGGGTACGACAAGAACGATCCTGGAAGTGGAAGTCTCCATACTTCCTAAAAGTTAAGATGAGCGATGACGGCGAAGTTGTGTTTTGGAGAACATTGGAAAGTCGATGCAACACAATAATGGATTTGTGCACTTGCTAGCTTCAGGCAGCACTATACGAGCACGAGACGCTTGGAAACCCTGATAGCTGACAAGTGTATTGCATCGTAACTGCCAAATCTGCCGGATCGTCTGCGAAGTCCATCTCGTCTGTCCGTGGAAAGAACGTCTGGAGACACGGACGAAGCTCGACATGGTTGTTGCTGTTTCAAGACCCCGCCCCCACCCAAGCTTGTGTGGGTAAGCGTATGACGCAGCTCACAAACACCCAGCTGGCGCAGCACTTGCACTGACATACACAACATCCACCCCTCATACATCCAAAATGTCTCTCACGAACCTCGATCTCATAAACCAATGCGACGGCTTTCCGTATCCCGACGTCAACTCGGAAACATACATCGCGTCCATCAACACGTACTACCAATTGCGCGTCTCGGGCTACAACTATGCGCTGGGTTATATGCTCCCCTCCGTTGTCGAAGTTTTCCGCGGGGTGCCTGGATGGGAGATCGACGACGATGCTCGCGTCCTCCATCTCACAGCCGGATCCAACGTAGACGAGCGGTCGAAAGCGGTAGAAACGACACTATTGGCTATGCGGCAGACAGGTCACTTCAAAGTGTTGGACAAGTGGCGGAACGAGCTGTATGCTGTGTATGGGCTGGGGAAGGAGCTGTTGTTCAACGTGGAAAGAAGTGCTAGTTGCCTGTTCGGCGTGGTTACCTACGGTGTGCATCTTACGGCATTCACGAGGAAAGACGGGGAACTAAAGATCTGGACGCCGAGACGGGCGCGGACAAAGCAGACGTATGGAGGGATGCTTGATAACGCGGTTGCAGGCGGCATCGCATCAGGTGAGTCGCCGTTCGAGAGTCTTGTGAGGGAGTGTGGAGAGGAAGCTTCGCTCGACGAGGATTTTGTTCGGGCAAATGCGAAGGCGTGCGGCACAGTCACATACTGGTACATCCGAGACGAAAGGGCAGGAGGAGAGACGAACCTGATGCAGCCCGAGGTTCAATATGTCTACGATCTCGAGCTTCCCGAAGACACAATCCCGAAGCCAGGCGATGACGAGGTCGAAGAGTTTTACTTGTGGAGTGTGGAGGAAGTGCAAGAAGGGATGAAGAAAGGCGAATTCAAGCCGAACTGCGCGCTGGTTGTGCTCGACTTTCTGGTCCGCCACGGCATTCTGACAACGGAGAACGAGCGCGACTACATTGAGATTGTGAGTCGACTGCACAGGAAGCTAGAGTTCCCTACACTGTGAGAAGGAGAGGGAAAACTTGATATTCCCGCGCAAGAGAGGCAGGTGAATCTATCGAGTCCTTTAGGGGTATCCAGACGCCGTGCCGAAACTTTTAGACCAGATGATACCAATACCAACACAATGCTACCAAACGCCTATTCTATGATTGCTTCCCTTGGATCGTGGTGGAGGCGAAGACACTAGTACTATGAGTGCTTGATGAGCATGTAAATGTCGTCGATCTTGAGCCCGCTGAGCTTCCTGTGAGGGCCCTCCATGTACAATAGCAGCCCCCCGAAGCTGGCGAAATACTTTCTGTGTTGCCGTCAGCACCGGGTGCAACCAGAACTCCCACGCGAGCTTCACTCACATGATGTCGCCGTCACCACCCTCCATGCGGTAGTTCTTCCCATAGCACACGTAGTCGTACATGTCGGCCAGTGTTGTAACACCCTGCTTGCCGACGCTCCTCCACATGGAGTCGTTGTCGCCCTTGGCACTGCCGTCCAGCGCCAACGTCGTTGCTAGAACAAGGCTCAAGGTTTGGCCAGCTTCTACCGGGAAAAGTTCGTGGTTTATGTCGAGCGACATGGTGATTTGGCTGTCGGTCGAGGTGCCAAAGATGCGGGAGACGCGGTCGTATTTCTCATTGTTGATGGAGGTGACGGTGAATGTCTCTTCGAAGACCTGGGCGTCGGCCATGGTGGGAATGCGCGTGGGGTGGGCGCGTAGGTGAGTGTGCGGCGGGTGAGGGTGTTGCGACAGTTGGCTCGCGCAGGCAGAAAGTCGTCGGAGCGCGAAAAGCGACGCGTGTCTTGGCGGCGCCGCACTTCCGCACCCTCTCCGCATCGCCGCTACGCGCGCCGCCTGCCAGCCTCACCATCGCGCCTTCCACGACTGTGCTCTCACATTCGCAATACTCCCACACATGGCTCTGCAAATCCATGCGCCTCACCACATCACTCACCCAGTCACTCGCTCACTCACGTGAACAGTCAGTTGCCTAAGCGCGCAACTCCCTACCTTGGTACAACTGCTGCGCCCCAGCCTGCCCTCGCTCCTCTGTCCCTCTTCTCTTCCCACCTCCACTATCTCTCACCCATGAGCTACGATCGCTACTTGATGAATCTCTTCAGCCTGCACGACTTTGACTATCTCTCGCCCGATATGCCCGACTTTACTTCAAGTCGTGACTGTAGCCCTGTCGCTTCCGATGCACTCAACCAGCCCAAGTCCAAAGCTGCCGCGAGCCAGAGCAGCATGCTTCTCAAACTCCCCGATGACATCTTCAAGTGTGTCATGGACTATCTCGACCGCGACGCTGCCTGGAGCCTGAAGAGGCTTTGCAAAGGCATGGCAAGCAGCGTCACCGTCAATCAGCTCCTCTACAAATACCCCATACAACTCAACGATGTGCGCGACATCAGACTAGGCGACTGGAAGTACAGAGGCCTGGGTAATATACGGTGGATAAGCTTCCAGGAGAGCATCACGGATGAGAACCGCCGACACGTACACAAGTTGGCAATGTCACATTGGGCGAGTATAGACGACTTCAAGTGGATAGAAGAAAACCTACCAAGCCTGACGAGCTTAGACATCTCGGCCATCAAAGACTTCGTATGGACACCGGAAGAGACGTGGACGTGGAGCATGCTGGCTGCTGCTTGCCCCAAGCTGTTCGGCCGCCTCGAAGAGCTCGAGGTTGCCAATTGGGCTGACTACACTGCGCACTCTCGGATTGAGTACAGCTACTCATACAACGACTATCGCTTCAAGCAGGGCTTCCGCATGTCCAGAAGGCACAAGAGCGGTTCTGTCGCCAGCATCATCTTTCCAATCTGCAGCAAGCTGAAGACGCTCGCGATACGAGAGCGCTACTCAGGCTTCCAGTAAGTTTTGTCCACCATGAGTCCTCACCAACGTTCCTAGTACTGACATCCAGCCTAGCACATGGAACGAGTGGGAAGTCCACCAGCGCGTCTGCTGTCTTGTGGATGGTGTGCAGAAGCATTGCCCAGACAGCATGACGAAGCTGAGGATACACGATTACGCCCCCTACCGATCCCTTTTCTCTACCGATGCCACAGCCTGGTCGCGAATAAAAGACGTCGAAATCGGCTTATACTCATGGATGGAGGACCGTCGCGATCGCGATGTAATTGGTCCCATACCGTATCGAATAACTCAAGGGCATCACCATCGTGATGAGGAAGAGGCATTCGATGACAAGACCTTCGAAGACTGCGGACGCGATCACATGGAGCTGGGCAATCATGTTGTGCAGGGCGTAGGAGCTTCATTCGAGGACCTGCTGCAGAGCCTCCAAACCATCTCCAACAAGTATCCAAACATCAACATCAAGCCCATACACGGTCTTCAAAACATCGTCCTTCACCCATTTCATCTCATCAATGTAACGCAGCGCCGACATCACTTTGGCCAGACTACGCAGCAGAACAACGACCAAGCGATGAGTGACCCTAGCTCCAAGCCAGAGGTCCAGGAAGCGCTGCGGTGGATAGCTGAGAAGTGTAACTGGAAGCCCGTATTCACTTGGGAGACCCTCATGTCCGATGTCTTTCCAGCCAATCTCGAGCCCAACCGGACACTGCTTCCGAAACAAGATATTCTGTCTCGTATACAGACTATGGTATCCACCTTACGAAGCTTCGGTATCCCAATCCGTATTTCCATTGGCGAACGCACAAACATGTCTCCCGCGTCCGGTATTGACGGCAACCTATATTTCGGCGACTACAAAACCTTTGTTGGGGAAAACGCGGACAAGCGTGAACTGTTGCTTCCGACCCAAGCCGTCTTCAGTCTTACGCCCATCGCCGCCATGGTGGATGAACTCAGTATCCAATACCCCGCCGACGTTCCTGGTGTCTCTGGCTGGCTGCGTACAGCGAAGCGCCCTACACCCGCCGAGGTAGCCCTCATGAAACGCGAGATGATTGGCTGGAGGCGCTTCTGGGCTCGCTACGCTTCCCAGTTCAAGAATCTGAAGAAGTTGACCGTCAATGTACCCAACGACATCTACGAAGACTGGGGTAAAGGCGAGCTCGTTCGGTTACTAGCCGACGAACGGTGGCAGATGCTTGAGGTGGAGGACAAGCAAGATAACAGCATCTTCGGGAGTTACTTTCCATTCAGCAGTACTAGCTCATCGTCTGCTCTACGACACAATCTTTCGCGTCGGCGTACAAGAGCCAAGTTTGTTCAGCGGGTCTTCTTCAGGCTTGACACCGGACCGTTGGACCTCGAGTGTCTGCCTGCGGGATTGAGCGAGAAGCAGAGAGAAGAGAGGGAGATCACAGACGCCGAGATCGCAGACAAAGAGACCTTGCCACATCGCTTCTGGCATAAGAGCGATGACGCAGACGAGGAAAAGGGTGAGAAACGCAAGCGAGACCCTGCCGAGGACGGCGGTAGCAAAGAGGATATGGAGAAAAGACGAAAGGCCGATCACGAGACTTGCGCCCGTGCCATTCAGTACGTTCGGCTTCTAGCAGCTACAACAGAGTAGCAATTGTATTCGTAGTCTAGCATACAAAGTTCATAGTAACCATCCATGATGATACCAGAATGTCTCGCCGATTGAAAGCTCTGCTATCTTTCTTACAAAAAGACACTAACCTGAGATTGTAGTGTTTGCTCGTAGGTCCTTGGAGCTGAATCCTGACAAGAGAGTGATCTGCCCTCTCGGGATAACCCACTCTTTCTCTTGAACGTCCCAGTAGCTCAGGTCCCTTCTCAAGAGTTCAAAAGTCGCCTGTTTCGTCTCGCCTTTGTGGAGATGTAGTTTGTTGAAACCTCTCAATACCTTGACCGGTGTGCCTGGGGGCGTAGTGTCCTGGGGAAGTGATACGTAAAGTTGCGGTACAGCGGAACCTGCTCGGCCACCTGTATTAGTGACGTTGACTGTCACTACGGCTACGTTGGTCCACAAATCGACCATTCCTCCTGGTGCTATACCCATGGACTTGTTGACATATTGGTTCAACGAGCCGCCCATAAGTTGCACGTTCAGGCCCGGTGCCATGTCAAATTCGGTGTATGAAAGCCCGTAACCGAACTCGTAAAGGGGTTCTTTGCCAGAATTGGCGTCGAAGTACCGGTAATCAATCATCTGACCCTCTACAAAGTCTTCCGTCCATGCGCCAGGATCTGTTGTGTTCTCAGGCACCACTAGAATTGGGGGACCGGCATCTGACTCGTCCTTGGGGATGGAGTAGGGCAGCCGGCCGGAGGGCTCAACAGTACCCCAGAGGACGTCGGTGATGGAGTTTCCAATTTCTTCTCCGGGATAGTGTGCAGCCAAGATGGCCGTCACGTTCTCGTTGTCCGCCCATGGCATCAAGACTACGCCCGGACCATGTGTCACCACGATAGTGTTCGGGCATAGCGCTGCTGTGCTTTCAACAGCCTTGGTAGCATTCCACTGGAGGTTCAGATCCGGTCTATCGGCGCCTTCGGTAGCCCAGGCCTTCAAGAACAACAAACAGACTTGGGGTGTTGGATAGATGGTCGTGAACCGCCCCGCTGCAATCTCATTGTTGTCGAACAGCAGTTGCACTCGGCCACCAAGGGCGTTCACTTTGGTCCGAATGGCTTCGAGTGGGCTCACAAGATTTGTGTGTCGCACAGAGCCAGATCCGCCACCAATGTCAAAGGCGCCTATCTCGTAGCCCTCTGGAGCCGCTTCGCCACCTGCAGGCACGAATGTTGATCCAATGGTTGGATCTGGGAGGCCGTTCCCAAACAGAGCGAAGCTAGTCTGGTTTGTCAACGGCAGTGTCCCATTGACATTCTTCAACAACACTGTGCCGGCTGCGCCCAGCTCGCGAATGCCGCGCGCATGATCGGCGCGAACGTCTATAGCTGGGACCTCAGTGAACATTCCTGCCATTGAAGGTATCTGGACATGTCCAAGCTGGGTAACAAAGAGTACGGGCCCGGTCGCAGGATCGATCATCGGAAAGTCCTTGTCTTGATGAAGTCGGAAATAGGGCGTC